TTCGTCCTCATTTTAGCCTTTTTGGTCCTCCTTTATTTGTTAATGATACATCTGTATTTTATCTAGACAGGTTTTGGGAAATTACAGAAAGCTGGGACCATACATGTTGGTATATGATCATAAAACATTCTATAAACTTCTAATATATATATATTTTTCCTAGTTGCCCACTTTATAACAGAACCTGAACTGAGAAGGGCAAGATGGAGTAAACCTCAATTTCCCCCATTACAACTGTTATGGGATGCTAAATACTTCATATTTACCTGTGTTAATAAAAATGACTGGCCAGTCTAAGTTGTTGGTCTTGCATCAAAATTATGTTTCCTGTAATTCTGTGGCAGAGCAAGTTCTTTGGTACAGCCTCACTAATGGATTTAATAATCATATTTAGTAATGTGAAATCTTTAAATGATATTAAATGTTTGGTGACCTTCTATAGTGTGCATATAGGAAAGGCTATTAGACTTTAAAAAAAATAATTTTTAGTTGTTAGATCTTTGGAGATAAGTAAATAGTAAGCAAATGATAGCCTTTTCCCCCTTTCAAATATATAATCTTCCTGAAGGGGTAGGAAGAGCAGGGATAGAATAAACATTTATCAAATATCAGCAATAGCCAGGAGGTACTGTGTAAGGTGTTTCATACCATTTTGTACCTATTCCTCCCTACACCCCTATGAGATGTCTTATTAGCCCCATTCTACGGTTGAAAACACTGTACTTGTATATTTGTGCTCACACATTTTTACAGAGTATTTCCAGTGAAGTGCTGTGTGATTTGACCCAGATCTAGGTTATCTGTTTCTAACTCATGTCTGGCTTTTCCTCGTTGGAGAGACTGTATAATTCATTTTAAACCTATATTTGTCTTATATAAACGCCTCCCAGAAAGTTGGGTGAATTTGAGTAATAATTCAGACGTTCACTTTTTTAAGTGTTAAAAGAGATTTCATTTTGAAATTATTCAAGGTTTTAAGTGCTATTGAAATTGAGCTTATAAATATTAAACAAAACAGTCAGTCATTTTACTTACTTTACTAAACTATCGATAAGACCAAAAAGATTAAATATGTTAACTTTTCCTAAATAAGAATTTTTTATTTTATTATTATTATTTTTTGTCTTTTTTTTTTTTACTGGCCGGTAACGGGATCGCAACCCTTGGTGTCGCGCCCGTACTGGGGACCGGCAACGGGATTGCAGCCCTCAGTGTTGCGCCCACGCCACGCTCAGCCAGTGAGCGGGAACTGGTCACCACATGGGATCCGAACCCTCGGCGGGAGCGCCGCTGCGCTCCCAAGTGGCGCACTCTCCAGTGCGCCACCAGGCCGGCCCCTAAATAAGAATTTTTAAAAAACACCCTGAAACTTACAGCTCTGGTTTTATACAAGATTATCCTCCATGCTGTGACTAGAGGTTTTTGGGTTTTTGTTGTTGTTTTCTTCTGTTTTGTTTTTCTTCTCTAAAACACTGATTTGACCATGCTCTTCTGGCTAAAATCCTTTTAAGACTCCCTGTTGCTTAGAGGTTCAAGTTCAGGCTCCACAATTTGGCTTCAACCACTGTTTTTTTTTTTTAAATTTTGTTTTATTGTGGTAAGAACACTTTACATGAGATCTTCCCTCTTAAATTTTTAAGTGTACAATACTGTGTTGTTAACTATAGGTACAGGGTTGTATCGCAGATCTCTAGGACTTATTCATCTCGCACAACTGATACTTTATGCCTGTTGCTTAGCAACCGTCCATTTCTCTCTCCTCCAAACCCATGGCAACCACACTTTGATTCTATGAATTTGCCTGTTCTAGATACCTCATATAGATGGAATCATGCATTATTTGTCGTTCTGTGACTGGCTTTAGGTTCATTGCAGCAATGTTCACAACAAGCAGGATGTGAGACGACTTACATGTCTGTTGATGGAAGAATGGATAAAGAAAACATGATTTACCCATATAATGGAATGTTACTGAGTAATGAAAAGTAACGAAGTACTGATTCATGTGACAATATGGATGACCCTAGAAAACATTATGCTAAGTGAAACAGGCCGGTCCAACCACTCTTTCTTAAAGCATCACCTTTTGGTTGTCCCTTCCTTTACTGGGAATGCTCCCTTCACTTTCCTTTTTCCTTCTACACTTTTCAGTTTGGGTTGTTACACATCCTGAAAGACCCAGCTAGTGTCTCCTATTCTTTGGAGCTTTCCATGAATCCCTTCTATAGAGGGACTGTTTCTTTCCATTGCATTTCTATAACAATTTAAATATACTTATTATTTTAATCCCTTTAAATTCTTGTTCTTTAGACTCTGAGCTCTGTTAGGCAAAGAATTGCCTTAATCTTTTTTCTCACCACTTACGACAGTTTGCTTTATCCCTCCCTTCTCTCCTTTCCCCATTTTTGCTTTCCTCTTTTCTTTTCTTCAAGGGACATCTATTGTGAGTCTACTACGTGTCTCATGTGTTCAAGGAACTCTTTATTGAATGAGTGGGAAAAAAATACGAAGTCTTGGCCAGGGAGACATTGTTAACTCTATTATTAGTCTGTTATTTTAATCATTCTAAACATGAAGATAAGTAGACCCTTGCCATTTAACATTGGAACAGCCTATCAATTTCACAAACTTGTGGGAATGTCTGGATGGAAGTATTAAGGAAAAACACATATGATAGTCATTTTGGTTTTATGTAATTTGGAATGAAATCATGTTGAGTATTGAAATCTATTCTTGGCTTTGTTTTATCAGCAGCGACTTGACTTCTGACAGTGTTGATAGCAGCCATGGAAATAACCACATGCATATCTGCCTAACCAAAGTAACAGCTATTTAGGGCGAAATAGAGAAGAATAATTTTATTATTGTTTGTCATTGTAGTTGGCATCTGGTGAAAATAGGTGTATGTTTGGAGTAGTGTTAGATGAAGATGAAGTGCTTCTAAAATATCTTTCTGAAGGATGGTAAGAGTAGATGGTGTACATAGGGCAAGTACCCTTGCTAACAGCTGAACAGTCCAATGAGGTACATGATGATATTTTCATTGATGGATGAAGAAACAAAGGCCCAGAGAAGTCAAGAGACTTGCCCAAGGTTGCACAGCTAGTTAAGCTGCAAACCTAAGATTTAAGCCTAGGTGTATCTGATTGAGACCATGCCAGTTCCATTACGTTGCTGTACTGCTCATAAAATCCTCATTCTCAAACTTGTGTCCAAGTTAGAGATAGTGAATTACCATGGTAATTTGAATTGCAGATACCAAATTACTTGGTACTTTGTAAGTTATTTAACCTTTCTGAAACCATTTTCTCATGGATAATACTGACTGCTTCCCAGGATTGTAATGAGGAATAAATGGGATGATATATGTGAAAATATAGTGTCAAGCATAAAACCCAAACTAATGTTTGGTGGTATTTATGCTGTTATTACATGTAAGAGCACTAATTTTTAATGTGCTAATTCTGCTTCCTGAGTATTTCTTTGCTGTTGTCCTTTTAACTAAGCTGCTTATTAGCTTTTAAAGTACTGTCGTGACTGGATTTCACTAACAATGGAAGTTATTTTACTGTAGCAAAAAGTTCAGATAGTCTTGGGATAAAAGACATTAGAATAATACTGTTTTAACTGAAGAAGTAAGTATGCTTAACTATTTAAAACTTTTTTCTTTCTCCTATTTCCCTCTATTCTGAAAATTCCCATTTTTTTTTTCTTGAATTATATCCAAGGTTGGGGTTGGAACTTGATGATGGCTTGTTTCCAATAATTGATATTTAATAGTTATATTCAGTACATTTGGTCAGAACTTTTTTTTTTTTTGAACCAAACATTATATACCCACAAAGTGTTCAGTACTCGAATACTAGTTCTCTTTGAAGGCAGCTGGAGCTTTGTTTAATGTGGTTTTTAACTAGAGTTTGACTATGTCAGTTGCTTGCATATGCATATTACTTTTTACATAAAGAAGATAACTGCTCTCTTAAGATCCTTGATGCTTAGTGTGTAGTATACACACATGCCAAAGAATGGTGCTGTTTCTTTTTACTAGGTAAAAATGCAAGAGGATCGGATTGTTTCACTGTAGCGAAACAGTAGTAGCACTATAGAATTGCACTAAACTTTCAAAACATGCTTTATTTGTATTACTACTATAAAAAGATTTAATAGCCTCTATTGAAATAGTAGATCTGATGATAGAAAATTATGGAAGAGTCTTGAACATACAACATAGGGTGTTAATTATCAAATATGGGTGGAAACCTGAATTTCTTTTATTATAAAAGTATTATCTTTGGTACTTGAAAATTTTTTGTTGGTACTGGTAGTAGTAATATATATTTACTTTTATGATAATCAGCTTTATGATATGACTAAATTCAATTCCAAAGTAGTCATGTTTTCTTTATAAACTGCTGTATTTGACCAAACAGCAGAATAATATATCTTTTAAATGTCCTCTTTTTAAACTAGCTAACATATTTCTTTAAACTAAGAAAATGAATGCCATTTCCCCTGAGAGGCATTGTGGCTTTGTGCAACTCTAGGGTGGTTTTTTTTTTTTTTTTTTGTTGTTGTTGTTTTTAAAGCATTGAGCAACAAGTTAACATATTTGTGTCCCAGTTTCTTTTTCATCTCTAAAATGCCTATACTTACCTCTCTGTGTACTTGGGGGGATCAGATGAGCTAGTGTGTGACCATGGTTCCTAAATAAAAAAGTGCTGTATGAATAATATGTTTGCAGTTGCTCATTTATGCTAATTTACAGACAAAAAGAAGTTAAGTAGTTTTAAAAAAATATCTTTTACATATTAAAATTTTTAGTATTAGTGGCATATGTTTAAGAAACATCTAACAGTGTAATTAATATAAACTTTATAATTTCTAATACAAAGATGGGTCTCTTATTAAACTATATTATACAGCAATGGCATGAATTGAACATTTTGTGTAAAATATATGTATTTCTACATTCTAAATGATATAGGTTTGTGTTTTTATAGGTTTGCCTGAATCCATCATTGCAGCTGCATGTTCAAGAAGTGGCCAAAGGGTTCTGCATGTTGATTCGTAAGTTTATCAATGGCAGCATTTAATATTTCCTAAATATTTCTTTCTAAGATTAAAATTAAACACACACATACATATATGTTTATACATATGTATGTATATATATATATATATACATATGTATGCATATATATATAAAATATATAAACTTCTGAAGTTGTAAAATGATTGAAATTGTTTAATTTTCACCAATAACGTGAAATATATAACATACAAGGTTTACGTCTTTAAATTGAAACATAGTTGATTATACATGTATGTGAGGTACAGAGTTGAATATCAGTACCTGTGTACAAAAAAAAAAAAAAAATATATATATATATGTGATCATCATAGCAAGATAATTAGCATATTCATCATTACTAAATATAATCATTCTTTGTGTCCATTAACCAATCTCTCTTCAAAACCTCACCACCTCCCCTTCCCACCTCTAGTAACCACAGTTCTGTTCTTTCCTTCTGAAAGTTCAACCTATTATTGTGATTCTTTTCCTTCTTTCTGTCTTTCTCTCTTTTTCTTTCTTTTACTTTCTCTTTCTTTCTCTGTCTCTCTCTCACTCACTTTCTTTCTCTTTCTTTCTTATTTAATTATATTTTATCTCCCAATTTTGAATGAGGACACACAGTATTTCTCTTTCTGCCAGGCTTATTTCACTTAACACAAGTTTCTCCAAGCTCATCCCAGTTGCTATGAATGGCAGGATTTCATTCTTTTTAAAGGCTGAGTAGTATTCCATTGTGTAAATATACCACATATTCCTTATCCAGTCATCTGTAGATGGACGTTTCAGTTGGTCCCAACTCTCAGCTATTGTAAAGAGAGCTGCGATAAACATGGGAGTGTAGATATCCCTTTGACATGATGATTTCCATTCCTTTGGGTATACACCCAGCAGCGGGATTGCTGGATCCTATTGTAGTTGTTTTAGGAACCTTCATACTGTTTTCCATAATGGCTGCACTAATTTACAATCCCGCCAACAGTGTAGGAGGGTTCTACTTTCTCAGCATTCTTGCCAGCATTTGGTATTCTCTGTCTTTTTGATATTGGCCAGTCTAACTGGCATGAGATAATATCTCAGTGTGGTTTTGATTTGCATTTCCCCAATGCTGAGTGATGTTGAGCATTTTTTCATGTGTCTATTGGCCATTTGTATATCTTCCTTTGAGAGATGCCTATTCAGCTCTTTTGTGCATTTTTTAATCAGGTTACTTGCTTTTTTACTGTGAAGTTGTTTGAGTTCCTTGTATATTCTGAATATTAATCTCTTATTGGATCCATAGTTTGTGAAAATTTTCTCCCATTCTGTAGGTTTTCTTTTTGCTCTGTTAACTTTCTTTTGCTGTGCAGCTTTTTAGTTGGTTATAATCCCATTTGTTATTTTTTCTTTGGTTCCCTGTGCTTTTGGGTGTTCTCATTCATAAAGTCTGCCCAGTTCTTCTTCCTGAAGTGTTCCCCCTAGGTTTTCTTTTAGTAGTGTTATAGTTTTGGGTCTTATCTTTAATTTATTTTGAGTTGATTTTGGTATATGGCGAGAGGGACAGGTCTACTTTCATTCTTCTACATATTGATGTCTGGTTTTCACAGCACCACTTGTTGAAGAGGCAGTCCTTTCCCCAGTGTATGCTCCTGCTACCCTTGTCAAACACCAGTTGCCTATATGTATGTGGCTTGATTTTTGGGTACTCTACTGTGTTCTACTGGTCTGAGTGTCTTTTTTATGCCAGTGTCATGCTGTTTTGGTAGCTGTAGCCATGTAGGATAATTTGAAGTCAGGTAATGCCTTTGGCTTTAACCTTTTTTTTTTTTGGCTAAGGATTGCTTTGGCTATTTAGGGTCTTTTGTTGTTCCATATGAATATTAGGATTGTTTTTTGTGTTTCTGTGAAGAATGTCATTGATATTTTGGTGGGAATTGCATTGAGTCTGTAAATAGCTTTAGGTAGTATGGACATGTTCACAATGTTAATTCTTCCAATTCAAGAGCATGCGATGTTTCTCCATCTTTTTGTGTCCTCTTTAATTTCTTTCAGCAGTGATTTGCAGTTCTCACTGTAGAGATTTTTCATCTCCTTGGATAAATTGATTCCTATGTATTTTTTTTTATTGTAACTATTTTAAATGGGCTTGCTTTCTTGATTTCTTTTTCTGCTTGTTAGTTATTGGAGTATAAAAACCCTACTTATTTTTGTGTGTTGATTTTGTATCCTGCAGCTTTACTGAAATTGTTTATCAGCTGTAAGAGTTTTTTGGTAGAGTCTTTAGGTTTTTCTATATGTAGAATCATGTCATCTGCAAACAGGGAAAGTTTGACTTCCTTGTTTCCAATCTGGATTCCCTTTATTTCTTTCTCTTGCCTGATTGCCCTGGCTAGTACTTTTAATATTATGATTAATAGGAGTGGTGAGAGTATGCATCCTTGTCTTTTTCCTGTCTTGATAATGTTCTATGTGCTGCTGAGAAGAGGGTATATTCTGCAGTTGTTGGATGAAATGTTCTGTAGATATCTGCCAGGTCCACTTGATCTAAAGCTTAGGTTAATTCCTGTGTTTCTCTGTTGATTTATTTCCTGGATGATCTGTCCAATGTTGAGAGAGTGTTGGTAAAAACCCCAACTAGCATTGTATTGTGATCTATCTCTCCATGTAGGCCTAAAAGTGTTTGCTTTGTATATCAGTGTGCTCCAATGTTGGGTGTGTATATATTTATGATTGTTATATCCTCTTGCTGGATACATCCCTTTATTATTGTATAATGGCCTTCTTTGTTTCTTTTTACAGATTTTAGTTTAAAGTCTATTTTATCCAAGATAAGAATAGCTGCTCCTGTTCATTTTTGTTTTCTGTTTCCATGGTATATCTTTTCATCCCTTCACTGTTAGTTTCTGTGAGTCTTTATAGGTGACATGAGTTTCTTGTAGGCAGCATATAGTTGCTTCTAGTTTATAAATCAGTTTAGTCAGGGTTTGTGTTTTGAATGGGCCGTTCAATCTACTTACCTTTAGGTTGTTATTCAAAGGTGTTGTTTTTCTCCTGGTATTTTTATTATTTTTTATTATTTTATTTTATTTATTTTTTAAAATTTAATTTAATTTTATTTTACTTCTCGAAATACATTGTACTTGATTATCATGCCCCTTTATCTGTTCCTCTCACCCCCTCCCCTCCCCCACACATCGTATCTGTGCACTTGGCTTAAATAGTTCAAGGAAATTTTGTGGTTATTCTGTCCTCTTCCCCTTCCCCTTTATTTGTTTGTGTGTTTATTTATTAATTTTTAGCTCCCACAAATAAGTGAGAACATGTGGTATTTCTCTTTCTGTGCCTGACTTGTTTCACTTATTATAATTTTCTCTAAGTCCATTGATGTTGCGAATAGTAGTATTTCGTTTTTTTTTTATAGCAGAGTAGTATACCATTGTGTAGATATACCACAGTTTCCTTATGCATGCATCAGATGATAGAAATTTCAGCTGGTTCCAGCTCTTGGCTATTGTATATAGAGCTGCAATAAACATTGGAGTACAGGTATCCCTTCGGCATGATGATTTCCATTCTTCTGGGTATATTCCCAGCAATGGGGTCACTAGGTCATATGGTAGATCTATCTCTAATTGTTTGAGGAACCTCCATATCATTTTCCATAAAGGCTGCACCATTTTGCAGTCCCACCAACGGTGGATAAGAGTTCCTTTTTACCTGCAACCTCTCCAGCACTTATCATTCTCAGTCTTTTGTATGTTAGCTATCCTAACTGGAGTGAGATGGTATCTCAGTGTGGTTTTGATTTGCATTTTCCAGATGCTGAGTGATAATGAGCACTTTTTAATGTGTCTGTTGGCCATTTGTATATCTTTCTTTGAGAAATGTCTGTTCAGCTCCTTGGCCTATTTTTTAAATGGGTTATTTGTTTTTTTGTTGTAAAGTTGTTTGAGTTCCTTGTATGTTCTGGATATTAATGCTTTGTCAAATGTATATTTAGCAAATATTTTTTCCCACTCTGTTGGTTGTTTTTTAATTCTGTTGATTGTTTCTTTTGCTGTGTAGAAGCTTTTTAGTTTGATATAATCCCATTTGTTTATTTTATCTTTAGTTGCCTGTGCTTTTTGGGCCCTATTAATGAATTCTGTACCCACTCCTATTTCCTGGAGTGTTTCCCCTATGTTTTCTTTAAGGAGTTTTATTGTTTCAGGATGTATATTTAATTCTTTAATCCATTTTGAGTTGATTTTGGTATATGTTGAAAGATACGTGTCTAGTTTCATTCTCCTACATATGATTATCCAGTTTTCCCAGCACCATTTGTTGAAAAGGCAGTCTCTTCCCCAGTATGTAGGCTTGCTACCTTTGTGAAAGTTCAGATGGCTGTAGGCATATAGGTTAATTTCTGCGTTCTCTATTCTGTTCCATTGATCTGTGTGTCTGTTTTTATGCCAGTACCATGCTGTTTTGATTATTATAGCTTTGTAATATAGTTTAAAGCCAGGGAGTGTTATGCCAGCAGCTTTATATTTTTGGCCAGGATTGCTTTGGCTATGTGTGGTCTTTTGTTGTTCCATATAAATGTCTGGATAGCTTTTTCCATCTCAAAGAAAAATGTCATTGGAATTTTGATGGGGATTGCATTGAATTTGTAGGTCAGTTTGGGTAATATGGACATTTTCACAATGTTAATTCTTCCAATCCAAGGTGGATGTCTTTCCATCTTCTTGTGTCCTATTTAATTTCTCTCAACAGTGGTTTGTTGTTCTCTTTGTAGAGATTTTTCACATCCTTGGGCAGCTTTAAACCTAAATATTTTATTTTTTTGGTGACTACTTTAAATGGGATAGGTTTCTTGATTTCTTTTTCTGCATGTTCACTGTTGGAGTATAGAAATGCTACTGATTTTTCTGTGTTGATTTTGTCTCCTGCAACTTTGCTGAAATTGTTTATCAATTCTAGGAGTTTTTTTATTGAAACTTTAGGCTGTTCAATATATAGGATCATATCATCTGCA